CGGCTAATATTACTTTTTATTATTAAATGTAAGTTTTAATGAAACTTGTCCTATTTTTTGTGTTGGTATGATGTGGTCCCGCGTGCATGACAATCAACGTCGAAATTCACAAACTATACTTTAGTTTTTACTCGTCTATTATATTAAGTTAAAACAACAAGTCAGTAATTATTATAAGACCAATATTAATTCCGCTCACAATCCTTGGTTCACGACTAAATAAGCAGTGTTATGTTAATTCCTCGTAATAAATTTCAGTAAAATGACCTGAAATTGTTGTATGAAAATAAAATGTTGCTGCTTCGTTGTTGCCGAATAAAAGTAAAATATCATAATGATAATAACGTAACAGGCCTTCATATTTCATTTACACTTCAAGTAAAATCAGAAAAGCGTTTATAACATAATTTTATTTTCATGTAAGTGTTCAGCGGAGCCTGTGACGTGTGCGGCGCGGCTCAGTCACGACAACGACGCGGAGCCGACGCGACGGAGTGTGACCTCCTCGATGATCCGTCACGTGTACCTCACTCAGCTGATTCTAAAACAGAATCATACGCTCCCTTCGTATATCATAAATGTACGGTTCAATATTTGTATTTTTTTCTGAAGGAAAAATATTGATAACATTATGAAATAAATTAAGTGATTTTTTTTGGAAGCTCGCAGTGACTTATCAATAGACCTGTGAGAAAATATAAAATAATAACTATACATGATTTCACTAATTTCAGTTTTTTTTAATATTATAATCGTGCAAACGCAAGGAAGTCTGAAAATTAAAACGATATCATCACGTTCTCACACTTTATATATTCTTGAAATATAACTTTTATTACATTTCCTTAAATCTTTTGGTCTATCTGTTGCATGTCGTATTATAACTAGCCGCGGTCTAGGAATAGAGAAGTTCAGTCAAGATTCTTTTCTGTGACAGGTCATGTGAATGATTGTATTTGTGACGTTCATAGTTCAGTTTTAATGTTAAATATTCAGTATTAGTTTTTGCCCGCGACTTCGTCCGCGTTAGTTTCATCATTAGTAATATATGTATAGCTGACCGGGCGAACTCTATTCCGTTTTAGAGGCCATTAATAATCAGGTTTCTCCTGTTCAATCGAACAGAATGATTGACATATTAGTTAGTTGTCAAATCTAATGTCAAAGAAAACGTTTGTATGGGGAATAGAAAAGGGCTGTTTTTAGGGTTTTCCCGGAAATGAATCAATTTTTTTCAGCTTTTTTACCTTCCCTGAACCTCCACGAACATTTCAAGACTAAGATAAGATAAATCCGTCTAGCTGTTCTCGAGTTTTAGCGAGACTAAGGAACAGCAATCCATTTTTATATATATAGAAGATGATAGTTTGTCAACTATTGATTTTATTTTTTAAGATGTTATTTTACATACACAACATTGATAATTAATTATTAATTATATTCCGAAATTAGAAAAAATGCAATTCTAATATAAGAAAAAAAAAAATTGCACAATGAGACATAGAATATTTTCTCATTTCAATTGTTTCTGATAAATTATGTAAAATATCTTTTATGATAGAAATGGCAACAGCGCTATTGAGTTTCAATTTAAAATAGAAGAAAAATACTGAGAAAGCAAATTGTTTGCTCTTTGTAGTTTCAGTGGAACTGCTGATTGTTCCTCAATATTTTCTCATTTAAACTAAACAAAATTATGTATTATATTGTGAGGAAATAAGTTAAAATATATTTTTGCACGATCTCTTCATTGTGCCATAGATCTATTAAAGGTTGCAGCGTCATTTATAATATACAGATACAGTTTCTGGAGCAGATATAAGTTTCTCCTGTCTTGGTCATTTATAACTGAAACCCTTCGTGACGACGGCTGGGAATATATAATCCAGCTTAAAATTTGCTGTCCTCGCTTCTAAATCAAATTCATTTGAATCATTGTCATTGGTTTTAATCGAACAGTTAATAAGCCTTAATGAAATAAAACTAGGATCACACATATTTTCTTGGTTGGTCCTACTTAGATACGAATTCATTAAATAAAAACAATACAAAATACCTTCCTGAAAAGATAAAAAGTCGTGAGAAATGTAATAAATGAGAAAGTTAAAAATCATATATTAAAAGTTACAACATAGTATCTGAAATAATGATAGGGGCATAGTGTGAGGGTCGCGCCTGATGTGGCAGTAATCGTTCGACAATTAATGAAACTAATAGCTTTAATGACCAGCAGTTAGTTAATGACGTGAAGTTTTGATTTCGTGTCCATTAATATCATCAACATTACATACATGTTTATATAAACCTTGACACGAACCACTAAAACTATTTGTATCATCGTGTTTCCGTAACTCAGCCTTTATAATAGTTTGTATATTCGTATAACAAATATAATATCATTTGATATTATCATTCGTTATTTATTTGTCGCTCGCCAGCCTGATACAGAGTCCGCTCGTTTCGCATGAAATAATCAAGTTTTCGAGTTCTGTGGATTACGAATTGTTATACAGATTAGATTTACAGTAAGCGAGTAGTCACTGGCTGCTGGCAAGTCGGAATTATATTTAGAACGTAATATGGATATAGATTTAGTTTGTGTTTAACGTTCACTTTGCGAATTAATTTAGATTACACTTATTTAAGTAAGTGTACTTAATTCCTCATGAATATTATTACAGGGCGTCATTATTTAAAAACATTCAGAGTGAGTGCTCTCCTTCTCCTCTTCTTCAGTTGTTTACCTCAATATTGATTGATAGCTGTTCACAAACATTTACCTTTTCATATCGGTTGTAATTGTTTACTTATTGTATATATAATATGGGCGAGCGCCGAGTACGTGTTGCTTCAGGGAGAGTCAATATTGGTTATCAGAACGGAGAGTAACTCAACTTATATGAACACAAACAACCGAACTCCGGTCAAAGAGGGCTTTACATTAACGACCATTAATTTTAACATCCGCGAGTGACGAACATCGACTTTAGACTTCACACAACTTCCAACGGCGGGGAATGAATCGAAGGAGTTTCAGCCATTTAAAAATATCGCCCTGTCGATAGATAATTCGTCTTCGAACAATTTCTCCTAAGACCCGATGAAATATCAATTATCTTAAAAGAAAATTTACATAAAAAAGTTTTTAAGGTCAAGAGATTACATTGATAGACTTTTATAAAACCCATGATGGAAAAATGGCTGTTTCATGTCGACAATTTATAATGTTTATAACAGTTCGGAACATAAAATGTTATTAGATATTACACTATAAATTTATAAAATGTCCGTGTTTTTTCCGGCGAAGTAACATTATACGTATAAAGTTTACCACAACTATACTTCTAGTCTGTACTAGTGAAAATACACAGTATTGCAATACATCAATCACATATATTTATGTGTATTGATAAAATCATGAAAATGTGAAACGATTCGATACGTTTTTTCAGGTGGGGCGACATAAATGTGACATACTAGCAGCAGACGCGCCTCGTGTACGAGTAGGGCCCCGGCCCCGGCCGGCGCGGCGTGGCGGACGGGTGCGTCATATTGAAACAGTCGGATTCAATGAACAAGATTCATTTTATAAAGCGGGATGTTTTCGATCGCTTCTCCCGGCACCGAGCGCTCGAGAACCCGTTGTTCGCCAAATTATGTAAATATTCATACACTCAACGTGTCCCCGTTCAAACGGATTGCCTCATAAAACAACGTACATTCAATAAATCTGATTTTCTTTCATTAAAGTGCGACACGTGAAGGACTCGGTATTCCTTTTACGTCTTATTATAGATATAGAAAATAATATAGGTATTTTTGAATATAACATAAATGTTTTAACTTATTCACGGTGACTGTGATGTATATAGACGGTCATTCTGACGGGTTGACAGTGTGTGTTGTGTGTACTCACATAGTTGATGTGTCGACGGGCGGGATGTAACATGCACTCTCGATATTTGAACAAGTCCGTTATAAGCCACACGAGTATAGGAACCCATTATTGGTGATTCATTCATTATCGCCCTAATCTATCGACGAAATACATTTACAAAGATTATACTTGAACGTTTTATAACACAGGAAATTAATTATATTTAATTTTTAGATTTTAATGTCAATGAAAACTGATTATATGCTGAAAGTCAACAGAAGAATAATTACAGAGAAGTTAGAGCATAACTGCAAAGACGACCGTCTTGCTTAAAAGACCGGCTCAAATATGTACTGAACCAATTCAACATTTACTATTGACTTTTGTTCTATTAAATATCTTTTAAAATATGTGAGACCTTTAAGGCTTTAACTTATAAGGATGAGATGAGAAATTATGAGATTCAACTTTAATTACTAAAAATAAGATCTACATCACTCTTGAAACAATTGCCGGGTCAATTTTTAATAGTCCACAGTACGCGATGGGTAGTCTTTCTATACCTTGTCCAAAATACGATATTATTTATAAAGAAAAACTACGTTGATCGGATTTATTTCTCAAACTTTTAAACAACTTTTATAATCTTTTAACCATGGTCCACTTCGTATTGTTTCATTAAACGTATAATCTCAAAACTCTGAGATATTATTATGATTAATTTCAATTATCAGTGACAAGTCCGTTAATTACTTATTTTCCCCTTATTCTCTTAATTCCATGAGAAAAACATTTATTTTCTGCAATCCCCGAGAGTTATTACAGTTCCCCAGATATATTCATGGCTTAATTATGATTAAGTGTGACCTCGCCCGGGGCCTTATTGACTTTGTTCTCTTACAATAGATGTCATTTACGCTCATTGCTATATTTTGGATCATATTTTTGGAAAGACGATATTTCAGCGAAATTTTTCTACCTCTGTAAATATAAAGGCAGAAATTTACCTATTAGGTAATTCATTAAATAGCTGGATAGCTTCATAACAGACAATGCAGTAGTTTTTAATATTAATTATTAACAGCACACATTTGGTTAGTTTCGTTAGTTCACACAGACAGACCTCCGTCAGAATACATCCGCTGGTATATCTCGTCACAATCTGTGGGAAGAAATTACTTCTTAGAAACATTAGGCTCGAGACATTATACAGGTTTAAATTATAACGACACAAGTATAGCATGTAAGAGTATTATTTATTAATGGCGTTATTGTGACTTTGAAGATGCCGATCAAGACGAATCCGGTTTTGTATTATTAAGAAAACTCTTTTAAGAAAATGTCATTAGTGTTGGAGTTTGACATCACATATTTTTCAGCAACACAAAAATTTATCACTTTACAAAAAATAAAAGTAATTAGCAATAAAAAATGCATTGACCCGCTTCGCGCGAAAACGATTTCTTGGCAGCAGTTCAATCGACCCAACCCGACTAACACAATCCCACACCTAACCTAGAAACCATGAGAAATTATTTTCCTCCAAGCGAGCGATGAGGACTTGCTAAATACCGTGAGGGAAGTAGCTTTTATGACAACATATTTTGTGTCGATACTTCACAATAACAATAAGGCACAGTCGCTTTTAATGTTCTTCACGCCCTCGCTGTTATATTGCTTTTACTTGAGATTTCGTTCAATACGCCGTGACGCCTGACTTGGATTTCACGTAAAAAAATAAATAAATTGGGGAAACAATATTAGACGTTTTCATGAAACAAAGTGATGGTTGAAATCCATTGTTCATTGTAAAGATTTTTATATAGGGACTTGATTTAAATGAGTTAAATTAAATGTTTTAATGTAGATTTCATATGTATGTTCCTCTGTATAGCTGTTCATACATCTGATAGGCAGCTCCCGGCTCCAGAACAACAAAGGAACACAAGAGGCACATTTTGTTTAGAGTTTAGACATACAATAGAGAATTCGACGATTGCTATTCATCCTTTTATCAAAGGATTTACAACAAATTGGTGTTTTGAGCGCGCAATTCGCCCGATTAATTCCAAGCACGCCCACTCGGTCTAATAAATATGGTAAAATGTTTTGTATCTGAGCTCGGGAAGTGTGAGTACGAGGCTCGCTGTAGCAGCGCGGGGACTCACGAGACATTATCAATATACTTACTGGTTTTAATTGGATTATAAACGAACAAACATTACGGCGATTTGTATGGAAATATAATGTGGGGATAACAGTCGTGGAAAATTAAATATTTCGTCTTTTAATTTATTGATAGGGGTTAATAAAAGTGTGTAACTTTTATATACATGTTTTAATGTATGTATATATCAGATACTTCACAAAGAATAATTGTTTATAAGGAATGCAAAATATAGTGTTATTCAATAGATAGCAAGAGGCGAGGAGCGTCACGCGGCTCGTGTCATGTGTGATCGTGTCGTTGCCGTGTCGTGTGCGTCCCGTGTCGTCTCCCTGTCGTCGTATTATTACAGTACTGTGTTCACGTGCCGCCTTCTCTCGCTCGCTCACCGAACACGCTTTGAGTTCTGCTTAAAATAATAAGCGCAAGCTACTCCCGGAATGTGTGTTGTTTATATGAAGCTTCTAAATTAAATTCATCGTTTGAAGATCCACATATTCTAGCCAGAACACATTTAGGAATATGTAGTCGGTGTCGTACAATAATAATAACGTATGGTTTTATTTAGGGACGCGGATTTAAAACATAAAGAGGTATGACATCGGAAGGAATGTACATATAAAGATAACTTAGTTCTTATATAAATCATGTAATGAGTATTATAACAGTGTACCACTCACCGACAACGTGTAAAGTAACGAAGAAGGATCGTACGGGCTGAGTCGACACCTGGCACTCGTAGACCCCAGCATCTCGTTGTTGAGCCCACTTCACCTGGAGCGTCCAGTCGTCTGTCTGTGGGGAGTGAGAGGCCTGGAACCGCTGGTCGGAGGTGTACGTGTACCCTCCCACCGTCAATATGTGCAGGTCCCGGTGACGGATCCATGACACCTGGAAATAATAACTTCTTAAGTGCACAGCCAATTCTATCACATAGAATCCTCTTTTGGACTGCTCGTAATCAGGCCTGACCATAGCACGATGTTAAGATACATCTTCAGGTTTTCTCCTCCATAATATAATAAATTATTTCATATAACATAAATCATATTATTCTAAACCTACATTTCTAACATACGAATCCCTTTGAGTCTATACTTACAGTGAGACCGATATTTAAAAAATTAAAAAAAATATCAAATTAAAACATGCTCAAATTATTATAATATGTAATTAAAAATGAATAAGTATAATTTTACTCGTCGTCTTTGTTACAAGGCAAAACTAAAGAAGCACTAGGAATTCCAACAATATTTTTAAAGAGTCTTATGCAATGTTACAATTTTTTTAATATTATCTCTACGGTCTTGTAACTGGGAGTTATGACTCGCAAATAAATTTCATTTGTATGTAAATTCTTGTATGTGAGTGTTCATGTACTGCAGCCTCTACAAGTTCTGACTCGAGCCATCAGTAACAGAATATTCTTTTGGTAAACCATAACCTCATTTCAATAATTAATGTTATTGTTATTTGCTCTCAGAAAATTCGTTATTAACTTAAATAATAAACAATAAATTTTACAATTACAATGCGAGAAATATGAGAGTAATGAAATTCAATTTTGCTAATTAAATATTGAAGTTCGCTGTTGATATTTTGTATGGAACATTCACAAACTAAATCAAGCTTTGCGCAAATATAATTAAAAGTTTATAAGTCTACGTAGTTTCTATCGTGCGATGCAATGAACGTTACTCTAACACCAGATAGTTATAGCTTGTTTGTTGAGTCCGCGACACATTTTAAAGCATCACTAACATCGCCGACGCATAAACGTTGTATGGAAAATATATTATCAAGTGAGAGGTTGCTGACTCAGCACTACAGTCATCTGATCACACGAAACAACGAGCAAGCTGTGGGTCTTATCTACATTCATTATATGTGTTGTTAGGTCGGTTTTAATGATAAGATTAGTTTTCATCAGATCTGAGGCCGACACTCTATATAAAAAATTAGATTTAAATTTGTTTTTATTTATTTATTATTTAAACATGATGGTTGGAAACAGGATATATTGATGGAATAGCATAGAATACATATAGTAGTAGACAAGATATCGAACTATAAATTCTAATATATTATTTATGTTCTAAATCTGTAGATTTATTATTACAATGCGGGATACAGCATAAAATAAGATTGTCTATCATTTAGATGATAGATGTATGTTGAAATTTAAACGCAATATTTACTTAAATTTCTGCATTTGCACGAATGATTGGCAATATACTCGTAAATCCTATATGATCGATCGAGATGGTACACGAGTAAGTGGCTTCTATAAGTACCTTTCATTTTACCCCTATTCCGTAACCGTCTGTAATGCGACATGCGATAGTTGGCAAATAAAAATTTAGCGATACAATGATAAATAAAAGAGATTTGTTATTAAATTGTTTCTAAAGACAATAAGTAAGTAATCATTATGTGGTTGAATAGATTATTAAATTGAGGTCGGGGTCTAAAAATATGTGACTGAGCTATTTGTATTCAATTCTTTACACGTTATGACTATGTGCTTCATTATATCTGTGACCATATAAGTAAGCAGTATTCTATTAGACCCTCTTCATCTATGCTTCCTTTAACTTCTCCTTTTGTCTAAACACTTACTTAATAAACTGGGAAAACTGAAGTGATACATCAAATTTAAAAACATTGTCACATAACATAGATTTCGTGGAGTCGATTAGCTGTGACCAGTCCGCCTTACAAGCTTACAATATTATTCTACCGACGGGATAGTTATACAAGGATCTCATCCATGCGATAAAGGATTACACAGCAGTCTGAACCCGGTGGGTATTGTACATATTAAATTCAGTTTATTGATACAGAAATAATTCAAAGTGTTATTTGTGAAGTATTTCGATGAATTATAGCAAAAAGGATGATCATGATAAATGCGCTGCAATTTTACAAATAATACTCCCCTCGAACGATAAAGCTCCGTTGTTTTTATGGAAAATATTTTTATAAAACGCAGTCGTCTTCTGATGTTGAGAGTCTACACAACGAGATATTCAATTTAAAATTAAATAAATATAATAGAATTTTCGCTCGTTCTAATACGATATTATTTTAAAAAAGATTTTGAAATAACTTTGATAAAAACTTCGACTCATGAATATTTGTCAGTGGAGATTTATACAAGAGTTTGTTTCTCGCGTGGATCGAACGAATACAATATATTGGAGATCCTTTGAAATAAAATCTGGATGGCTGTAGGCGGCTCGCGTAAAGCTTTTACCAATATTAAATACATAACTTACGAAAGTAAATAGTGATAAGTTTTTGTATCCGACTGGGATTGTTTCGTTTTGTAAGAAACATTCGGGTGTCATCAATCAAATAGCTCTCAGTGAGCTCCGGGAATACAAAAACGGGAATCTCGATGTTGCCTACAATTACCGATTACTTTATATATACGAGCAAGATGACAACGAACCACATAACATTTGTGGGATGACATGTTTGATGTCAGAGTTGTTTGAAGCAGAAATAAATATAACTGTGGTCTGGATTACACTCGGGTGACATTGAAATATTAGTTTATAAATATATTGATGTACAAAATTAAATATTTAAATGATGTTTTATATTTGATCTGTTCATACCTTACACTACTTATACATATTTCAAGAATTAAATATTGTTTGTGATAGTTTTGAAATGTACAAAAACAGTCTGGTGAATATTAAATTTAAAGTACATTTTATATACAAGACAATAAAAAAGCTAAGATCAAAGTCTTTACCAAAATTATTCTAAGTTTTTGAGAAAACTTTTATAATCGGGTTAAGGCTTCCTCACTTTTCTTTTCTGTCAAAAAATATAAAGGGTCCTTTAAAAACACCAAGAAACTCCTTAGAAATATGAGAATTTTATGCCTACTTTTTCCTCCTTTTGTAGTAAAAACACTTTGAAATTTGAAAATCTCAAGTTGAATATATAATAATATTATACATATAACATAATTACATATTACTTTTTTGGTAGATTATCGAAATAAATAAATGTGGAATATAAGTTTACAATAGGTCGGCAGAAGAATCATATATTTTTTAAGAAAACATTTCCATGCAACAATATTTTGTTCGGATTAAGTTATAAAAATTGTAATATAATTATTTATAAAACTTATCATGGAGGCTTCATAGTAAGATCATATATATTTTTAAGTCGTTCTATTTAATGAAACTATAGCCACACTGTTCAAAGTTTAAGATTTAATGTATTATAAACAGCTATTAGGGTCGGGTCACACTGATTTATGAGTCGAAGCCATTTGTATTGTATCGGTCCACATTGGCAATAATTGTGCAGTCACGGCCTATTATTATTACTATTGTTAAAATATAAAGGAATTCGCAACTATGGCTGTTCAGACAATACGACACACAGAAGTTATGACTTTATTTATCACCTGCCTCCGTAATACATTACCTAATAATATAAAAACAGAACAGTTATTTACAGTAACTGTTTAAAGAATGAAGTACTTTACGATAAAGTCACATTGTAGTATATGAAAGAAAAAAGTTCTCGAGTTCATATTTCAGAATCCGCGCATTGAAACATTAAAGAAGATTCAATAAACAACCTTTATGGTAGCAATCAATCGATTGTAAGTGGCACTTTTATGTTGGTCCGGTCGCACGGAATTTTCCATCCAATATGGATTGTGGATGGGAGGGTGTAGGGTGTAAGTTCAAGGGTGTAGAGTGTAGGGTGTAGGGTGTAGGCTGAGACCCAGTCGGAGCGAGTCTGGTCACGTGCGATGTCTCAGCTCCAATCGAAACATAACGGGGTAAATGGAGTATAATTCAGATTTATGGCCGCTTGCTGCGTTCGGAGGCCGAATAAGAAACTTTCTGGACATACGCGTCCAAACAATGTTTTTATAAAGAATACTGGGTTTTGTTATCTTACGTTACTCTCAAGATGGGACACAATCTCACATGACGGGTAATGTTTTATTTTATTTGTCATCATCGAGCAAGTTAATTGTTCTGTCCAAAAAAAAGGTTTATATTACAGATAAAGAAGGAGGAGAAGTTCAGTGAAAACTAACAAGACCCAACTGAGCATTGGTTGATCGATATTGATCATGAATATCAACGAAACTTTTAATAAATACTCACCCTTCAAATGTTACGAGTGTTAAATAGTATTCATTAAATCCTAATTATCATCAGCCTATCAGAGCCTTAGAAAGGGCCTCTTCTCACATGGAGAAGGTTTGAGCATAATCACCACGCTCGCTCAAGACGGGTTGGTGATTACAAATTTCTAATTTGAAACTATAAGTCGTTTCTAAAATCACAGTTGTACTTGCCAATGAAGGGAATTAGAAAATAAAAATACATTAGCAGAAAGTAACATCTAGACACATAAATAAATGCTTGTTGTGACTAATATTTTAAAGGACAGGAAGACTTGCCAGCATATTCACTGACAGACAGTTCAATAATAAGAAGGTGCGAAGGGATCAATCAATAGATTTTTTTAACATAAATAATAAAAAAATACGATACGCATGTATCAAGTCGCACCATCAGTATTCAAGTAAAATTTTAAATTTTCAAAATCATTTTTACATTACCGAGAGTACTGTACTTATAATACGCTTGCTCATATTAAATTATATTCACATACGCATATTTGGCTTCATCGAAACAAGAACATTAAATATATTTAAAATATTCTGTGGAAATAAATAATAGTAGTGAATGACATGTGATCCTGCTGGAAGCCGATGGACGGTCAGATAGAACCCTCGTCGCACAAACAGGGCTTCACCGTTTTTCCCAAATTCCAACATATTTTTCATGTTTCACATTTTTCGACCGCGCACATTTTTTACATTTAATTTCTAGAACGGCCTTTGTTCGTTGTTACAAAAATATGTATGTACGTGTCTTTGTTTAAAGCTATTCACTGGAATAATGGTCGGCTTAACGTAGTTA